CCCTTTCGTAGGGGCCGGGTGGGGGGGGGGGTCCTGAGTGGACTGACCCATTAGTAGCACAGGGAAGCATGCGGGAAATGCACATTATCTCTACATCGAGGACTGTAGAGATCGACCGAGCAATGCTGGAACAAGGTATTGTAGCAAACGTTATAGAAAATTTGAGAACATTTTCTGGAAAAAATTCGAAACATTGTTGGAAAAGCGATTTTTTTTGGATAATTTAGTTTTTATTTTTGATCATTTTTCATGTTTGGAATTGAAACATTTTATGTAATGTAGAAAAAACTTGACATTTTGATTATTTTTTTGAAGCTTTGAACATTCTTTGTAAAAATATGAATATTTTCGAAATTCAAAACATTTTCTTAAAATGTGAACAAAACTTCAAAACTAAAAATGGGTTGGCCCAATTAACTCGTCTGATGCCTCCTCCTTTGCGTTTTCGACGTCAATTTGACTGAAATCATGGATTAAGGGGTACCCCTTTCGAAAGTCGCCCAAGGGGTAACTCTATAATTTTCCAAGGTAAAAAGGAAAATAGTTGCAATAAAGGGAACCCAGGGACCATATTCTTCTCCAATCTGAGTTTTGCTCAAGTCTCGAATAAACTCAAGGACATATTAAGAAAAATTATGACCGTCGGTCAGGATGGTCTGTGGATGCCGAACAGTTATGACAACTGAACTTAGCAAGATAGTAATTATGACCAAAGGACTAGTGGCGCACTCTTGTTGCAACCTGACCGTGTTTCTCTTTGGTAGAATCTTTTTGCGAAATGTTTTATCTCTTGAATTCTGTGTTCAAATTACAAATGATTTCCATGTTGGATTTGTCACATCGAGGTATTCGAAATTAGTTTCGTGCGGGATTGATGATTTTTTCGCATGAAAAAGCCAGGAAAAAAAAGAAAACGAAACAAATGAAAAACCAAAACGGGGAGCCCTCTATCGCACCCGATATGCCGTCCCCGGCGCTAAGAGAATCTATTGAAGACGTGGGCCCACAGGGCATTGAGAGGAAGCGGCTAGAAGGAGGAGAAACAATGACAGCCAGGGCCCAGTAGAGCGGCAGGTGAAAGTTGGTGTGTGTGTGTGTGCCGCGAGCATTTCGCGTAAAAAGGGGGGCGAGAGCGTAGATGTGAGGCATCGAGAATTATGAAGCGAGAAGCCGCTCTTCTCCTTCATTGGCACCAGCACCCTTTCTCCGTCCACGCGCCCCCACCTTGCTTTAGGATTTATTAGAGCGGGTCCGTTACACCCTTCAAAGGATACCCCTTAATTAGTTGCTCCCCATTTTGACGCTTAGGGCGTCGATTAGGGAATTTCCAACGCGACCATTGCAACTTTTGCTTTTTGATATTTTTTGAGCTGTATTTTTTTTTGTTTTTTGATGATGAAGTTTCTTTTATGGAGAGAATTTTGATGATTTTTTTAGGCAACCTCGCAAAGTTTTATTACATCGTCACAATGTTTACAGGGACGAATTGAATGCCTTCCCGCTAGCCTAACCAAACATGGCGGCCAACGTTAAGAGTTAAAGCATGCTTTAATTTGCTAAGTTGTGAGCATCAAAGTTTGAGCTCCTAGACTGATGAACTATTTTACATGAAATAAAAGATGACGCTTGCAACTCAATTTCTCTAATCACTGGTCCGTATGCCGCAGTGCTTCTCCTGCCAAATTCATTTGCGACAACCTTGCAATCTGTAGCAACTTGTGCCTTTGTGATGTTTAGATCAGCTGCTAGATCAAGACCTTCACGTACTTCCATTGCTTCTAAAGTAGTGGGATCTTTGATATGTTTGAAAATAATGGTTGATGCTCCAAGGAAGTTGCCGACTTGGTCTCTGCATATCGCCGACACAGCTCCAAAACGGCTGCGACTACCCACAGCTGCATCCGCATCCAGCTTCGCAAAACCATCAGGAGGGGCAATCCAAGTTGGATGTGGTATGGATCCACCCCCTGTCCCTGCTCTCA